CAGAGTACCCCCCACAGGGTTCGCCGAGGGACGCAGTTGAACGCCTTCTCCAAGTCCACAAAGCACATGTAGACTGGTTGGGCAGGCACGCACACACATCTACACAGTAACCCCTTGCTACTTCGCAGTTTTCGCAGACTCGCTCTTTTGCGCTTTTATTAAAGTAAGATTGGACGACACAATTGGCTGACTGATGGCTGAGCCACACGAGTGGCTTGGATAGTTTAATTAAAATAAATTAAATGATTTAGCACCTGCTGCACCTGAGTGCAGCCCACAGGTGCAGGGAGAAGCTCCCTCCTGCAGCGTGCCATGATCTCCGCTCTCTGCCACGCCCACTTCTCGGCTGCAGTCACACTCATGCTCATCAGCTGGGTCACTCCCACCTCCCTCCTTTTGTGTAAACAATTTAAATTTAAATACTGTAATAGTTTAAACAATCCATGCTGCACAAGCAGCGATGCTTATTTAAATAATCAAGTGTGATAAAACTTTAATAAAATATTTATTGAAACTTTTACGAGGAGGAGAAAGTCAGCTGTCACTCAAAGAGCTCGATCACCGGTGGAGGATCCGAAGCTGCGATGACGTCGCAGGGAAAGGAGTTCTGGACGGACGGATCACGTGACGTGAGCAAAAGTGCAACAAACACTCAGAATGTGAAGTTTGGTTCTGAGAGCTCAAGTCAGAGTCCGGGGTCAGAGTTCGTGGTCAAAATACAGGCGTGGATCATTCACAGAGGCAGGAACAAAAACACTGAAGGCATGAGGCAGCACACAAAAAATAAAATAAAATGAAATGAAATAAAAGCACAGCACAGGTTCAAAATAAATTAAAATCAATTATTGAAAACAATTTAGCACCTGCTGCAACAGGTTATGGGTGAACAAGCCACTGGAGCAGCAGGACATTTCCCGGTGGCCTGGCCGTTCGCCGAGGGGGACTAAAGGCTCGAATCCGGTCGCTCATGCAGCAAGGATTGTTTATTTAAACTATTATAGTATTTACATTTAAATAGTTTATTTACAGGCAGCACGGTGGCGCAACTGGTAGAGCTGCTGCCTCTCAGCGAGCAGGTCCTTGGTTCAAACCCCGGTCCAGGGGCCTTTCTGGGTGGAGTTTGCATGTTCTCTCCGTGCATGCGTGGGTTTTCTCCGGGTACTCCGGTTTCCTCCCACAGTCCAAAAACATGCATGTTAGGCTGATTGGTAACTCTAAATTGTCCCTAGGTGTGAGTGAGAGAGTGAATGGTTGTTTGTCTCGTTTGTCTCTATGTGGCCCTGTGATGGACTTGCGACCCGTCCAGGGTGTACCCCGCCCCTCGCACAGTGATTGCTGGACATGGGCACCAGCGACCCCCGTGACCCAAAATGGAATAAACGGGTAAAGAAAATGGATGGATGGATGGATAGTTTATTTACACAGAAGGAGGGAGACTGGGAGTGAAACTGGTATCGAGTGTGATGTTCCGTGTTCTTTTAGAGCGTTCAGAGTTTAGAAAATAGAAACATTGCAAGAGTGTGGGAAGGTTTTAAAACAAATTAATGTATGTAAATACTAAAATAAACTACTACTACTTGTACTAATATCCCTACTTGGCGGTTTTTCACTTATCACGGGGGGAGGGGGCAGGGAACAGAACCCCCCGCGATAAACAAGGGACTTATGTAATGTATATATATATATATATA